AGGAGATCAGAGTCAGAGTCAGAGTCAGAGTTTCTTTATTGTCATTCGCACCTCATGTGGTTCATGTGGTGGAGCGAAATTATGTACACGGGGTCCCAGTTACATCCAACAATAAAATGTCTAAGAAAAACAGTAATAACATCTAAGATATGAACTAAGAAAAACATCAACTAAATATACACTAAGCACTCATAACATAAAACATTGAACATCAGCACAAACATGAACATGAGTCTGTGAGCAGATGTGCACGCATGAACACATCAACATTGAAACAGATCAGCAGCAACATGAAACAGATCAGCAGCAACATGAAACAGATCAGCAGCAACATGAAACAGATCAGCAGCAACATTGAAACAGATCAGCAGCAACATGAAACAGATCAGCAGCAACATGATGTGGTTTTTCACAGTGATTATTCTAGTTAGAGATTCATGAGTCTAACAGCCTCAGGGTAGAAGCTGTTCCTCAGTCTAGTGGTTCTACACTTAATGCTCCTCAACCTCCTTCCTGAGGGGAGTGGGGCAAAAAGTGTGTGTGCTGGGTGGGTGGGGTCCTTCATGATGCAGGTGACCCTCTTCCTGCATCTGGAGGTGTAGATGTCTGTGATGGTGGGGAGACTGACTCCAACAGATTTCTGTGCAGCCTTCACCACTCTCTGCAAAGCTTTTCTTTCTGCAGCTGTGCAGCCTCCATGCCACACATTGATGCTGGAGCACAGGATGCTCTCCACTGCACACCTGTAGAAGGAGGTGAGGACTGAGCTTCCCAGACCAGCTCGCCTCAGCCGTCTGAGGAAGTAGAGTCTCTGATGAGCTCTCTTGATCAAGCTGGTGGTGTTGTTGCTCCAGCTGAGGTTGTCATTCATGTGTACACCCAAGTACTTGTAGCTGGAGACCACTTCCACCGCAGATCCTCTTATGTTCAGGGGGGTGTAGGTGTTTTTGTTCCTTCTGAAGTCCACAATCATCTCCTTTGTCTTCTTCACATTGATGTGAAGGTTATTCTCTCTGCACCAGCTCTCCAGGTGTTCCACCTCCTGCCTGTAGCTGGACTCATCATTGTTTGTGATGCATCCCACCACCGCTGTATCATCTGCAAACTTTACAATGTGACAGATACAAAGAAAACAGAAGGGGTCCGAAAATGGAGCCTTGCAGGACCCCGCAGGAAAGAGGCACTGAAGTAAATAGTGTTAACAAAATTAACATAGAAATTCCTGTCGCTCAGGTATGAATGGAACCATTCTAATGGTGCACCAGTAATCCCAACCCAGTGTTCTAGCCGGGATAGAAGGATACTGTGGTCCACAGTATCAAATGCAGCGGTAAGGTCAAGGAGTACCAGGACCACAGACTGACCAGAGTCATTTGCCAGAAGAATGTCGTTGCAGACCCTAACTAAGGCTGTTTCGGTGCTGGTAGTTTCTTAAAGCCAGACTGAAAGATCTCAAGAATAGAATTTCCACTCAAGAACTCGTTTAATTGAGTGAAAACTATTTTCTCCAGGATCTTAGAAAGAAAGGGAAGTTTGGAGATGGGTCTGAAGTTTGAGCAGGTTGAAGGGTCAAGTCCGGGTTGTTTTTATTAAAGGAGTTACCACTGCATGTTTAAAAGTGTCTGGAACCACACCTGCAGCCATACTGCTGTTTATAATGTCAAGAACAGAGGGTCCAATGGAGGTAGGACTTGTTTAAAAAACCATGCAGGGATGGGGTCAGCAGGGGAACCTGAGGGTTTCACATGACCAATGACGTCATTTAGAAATGAGAGGGAACTGGTTCAAACTGGTTAAAGACTGATGTGGAGGGGACAAAGACAGAGGGGTCAGCTGTGGTGTGAGGAATCAGTGACCTGATCGACTCGACCTTTTTAACAAAGAAACTGGTAAAGTCCTCACACGTAACTGCAGAGGCCTCCCAGTTGTCGGACTGACACGGTTCAAATGGAGTTAATGGTGTTGAAAAGAACGAGGGGATTGTGGCTGTTTGAGGCGATGATTTGGGAGAAATATTTGATTTTTCTGATTTAACAGTGGCCTGGTATTCTTTGAAAAAACACACACTATCATTCATACAGCAGACACTCACTCACACTCCAACATCACTCATGCAACAAATATACATGGCATTTACAATGTTATATTTCCCTATTTCTGCCTAACTGAGGTTCTTGTCTGTCCTTCAACTTATAAAAACATATTTCCCTGACTGCCTATTCTAAAAAAGCTATCTGTCCCTGTCTTTAATAAATCCATATATTCATCTGCAGGGATCATCCTTCCTATTTTCTCTCATATTTCTCTTATTCTTATTCTCATATTTCTCATATTCTCTAAAAGGTGTATATTTAAGGTTACTCCCGTATCAGAAGCACAATTATGACAGACATGTCGTTCATCTTTGTGCTGCTAATCCGTCTGACCAAATGCATTCAAATGCAGACCTTAGGTGACGCTAATCGTTCAAAGTTCCCCGAAGACACCATCTTTTTCAAGGGGCCAGATCAGGACCCCCCACAGGCACTCCAAACATCATTAAGCCTATCATATTCTGACAAACTCGATGGAGTTTATAAAATCTTGACAAACCCGACAAGGTTTACCGAACTGTCAAACGCCCAACACCTGTCGACGCTGTCCAGACGTACAATTTTTAACGCGTTTAGGAAAACACCACGAACATAACACCCGGATGTCCGTAGGCCTAACCGTTCACGCAAAGATTGGAGCATCACACCTCATTAATCCACTATAAAATACCTTTATAGTCTTCTGCAGGGATCACTAAGGTTGCTGGGTACCAACAGGAGAGACTTACATTATTCATCCGCAGGTATCTCAAAAAGTGGCACAACAATTTTCACGTGAGGGTAAAAATTAGCAATGCCATTCTTAAAATTTAGTCAATAATCAAACAAAAATGTATGCACGGGCTTTAAATCAACTGGACGATTCTTAATTTTTAGGGGGAAAAAATAGCGTTTCGTGAGTTTATAACACTCCCGGACCACTTCTGGTTAGCAAGTTGCTAACGTTTCCGGTCTGCTCCCACGCCCGCCCAGGCGAAAAAAAACGTCGCCTTTATAAACTTTTATGTCCGATAAATACATTCACAAAATCATGTATTATACTGTAATGTTCTACTGCCTTTTAGTTCACTAAACTGCATGCACAAAAACTGAAAACAGAGCAGCCTTAAGTCCTTAACGGACAAACACAAATTTGATTTAATAGGTTTTCTGCTTACCTCATGTTAAAAGCCGGCTAGAAACAGTCTGCTCCAACTCAGTGACCTACCGCTGTGTCACCATTAAACAAAAAGAAACGAGCTACCACTTCTAAAGACGGGAGACCGGGTTTCAGCACCAGCTGTTGCATTTGGACGAGGGCTAGCTGCGGGTCACCGTTCACCCAGAGGCCCCCTCTCGGACCTTGGACCCACCTCTAGCCCAGTCTCTTCCCCTGGCTTGAATCTCCCTCAGAAGTGGCAACTCACAATATCAATAAATCAAGGAAACGTCAATTAAGTTTTACCAATTGTATTAAAATCAAGGCAGGAAAAGATTACAATTTACAGCGCTGGTCTCTCCGGTCTATGACGCGTTCACAAACCCAGAAGAGCCCCGATGTCTTGTGTCATTACTAATTTATAGGGTCCTGGACTCCTCCTTCGCATAAGGCGAGTTCAACCTGTCAGTGTATGAGGGGGTGTGGCTAAGTGTGATCTCAATGGATCTTATGTGGTTCTGATGTGTTAGGAAATATGAGATGGTACTTCAAAAGCCTTACTAGGTGATGTGGCAAGCAAATTCAATTCTACTCCTTGGCGGATATTGAATCCCAGGGAGACTCTTTTAGAGTTGCTGGCCCAGTTTAACCCAGTCACAACCGGATCATAATTTCATTATAATCCCATGTCTGAGCAGATCAAAACCATAGGACCAGTCTAGATAAAATTAATATCCAACACAGGTTTGTTGATAAAGTTGAATAAATTCTGAACTGCAGGTGAGGCTGAAACAACTCGACATATGAGGTCAATTCTTAACAGTTTCATTAACAGAATTTACATTAAAATGACCAAATTTAATACAACTTTACACAAAGTTCAAAAGTTTCATAAATCACATTAATTTTCCTTGTCCCTTAGAGACAGAGTGAGGAGTTGAGTTTTCAGGAGATACTCGGAGTAGAACCGCTGCTCCTCCACATCCAGAGGAGCCAGTTCAGGTGGTTCTTCTGGTAAGGATGCTTCCTGGGCGCCTCCTTAAGGAGGTGCTTCAGGCATGTCTGACTGGGAGGAGACCCTGGGGAAGGATCAGGACACGCTGGAGAGACTGCGTCTCTCAGTTGGTCTGGGAACACCTTAGAGTCCTCCCAGAAGTGCTGGAAGAGGCGTCTGTGGAGAGAGATGTCTAGACCTCCCTGCTCAAGATGCTGAGTCCAGAACAAGATGATGGATGGATTGTTTCTTTTCTCATGTTTTTCAATTTGAGTAAAATTTTAGAGAAAAATTAGTTTAAAATTTGAAAAACCTAAAACTAAACCTTTCTGTAAAAGAATAAACAACAAAACAAAAACTAATCTCTAATGAGAACGCATGAGAAACTGAGAACTGATGAACAAAAACATTTATTTTTAAGAAGTTTGTGACACCAGTTTAAGGTTCTTCACAAAGAAAATGAATACAATTTAAAACTAATCAACACTGATGTTTCTGACAAATGAGTTAAAATTAAAAATGATTGAAACAACTTATTTTTCTGAGGTTGTTTTTTGTTTGTTTGTTTTTGTTTATATTAATCAAAATGTTTGTTTCAGAGAAGCTGAGAAAACAGAACCTTTTGTTTTTTGCTGCTATAAAATGTTGATCCAATGAAAAGTCCTGCTTTTATCCTGTAAGAGAAGAAAGTTCTGGTTTCACCACTTGCCCGTGAACCTTCAGTGGTGAGGTCATAGATTACAGCTGTGAGAAGGGTTCTGATTGGCTGAGAGGATCAGGAGAGCTGGTAGATGTTCCTCCATGTTAGCTCCACCTCCTCCCTATTGACACCATCATCATGGTGATCTGTGAGCAGAAAGACGAGAAGAAAAATCAAAAACATTCGATTCAAACTGTCTGCTTTTCACTTTACAGAGGAGGAACTGGTGATTGGATGTTGGTCTGTTTTTTCCTTGTGGCTGGAATAATATACAGGAACATCTGGAATGATATACAGGTGATGGCCAACCAACCAGACATTGTGGTGGTGGACCAACAAAAGAAGGCGGCAGTGGTGATAGATGTGAAGCCTCCAGTATACATGTGCATCCTGTCAGCCGCGCGGACTCAACGTGCACTGTCCGCAGACGGTTCAGACTTCATACCCGAGCGTCCACCCTGAGCGGCTGCAGTCAGCGCTGCAGGCAGGGGGCGTTTACCTTCGGGACAAATTGAGGTCGCTGATTTGTCATTTGTTGACACGCCTACTGGATTGATTGACAGGTTGAAAAAAAAAAAAGCTGGCAGCCTCAGTGGAGTTCTGTGTTTATATGTTTTTAATAAAAATATCTAAATATTTAAAAAAAACAGGGAGCACTGGTCCTGCAGTCCACACATCAGACCAGCCCACCAGGAAATCTCCAGACCCTCCTGCAGCCACGCTGGACCTGAGTTTAATTCGCTCGTAACAAATTCCTTCATTTATCACAGTTTCAGTCATGTGTTAACGGAGGAGGAAAAGATCGCTCGCCTCTTGGGAAAAAAACAAACAAACAAAAAAATGCCATTAAACCAGACCTGGGATGAAGAAGGGGAATTTAATACATTGGTGTCACAAACAAAACGGTCCATTGCCGGGCAGTTTATTGTGCGACACAGAGTACACGTACGTGTCATAAAAATTGATCTTTGCATGGACATGCCCTGCTTCAACTCTAATCCAGTACGCGCGGACCTCAGCGGACTGATATACGCCTGAGTGTACTGGAGGCGTAACAATCCCAAGAGACTGTACCATCAGGAAGGAGCATGAGATGCTCAAGAAATACCAAGGGCTGAAAGAGGAATACAAAAGTTGTGGAGAGTCAAAGCATTAAATGGTGAATAAATCAATATATTATAAAATTTATAATTAATTAGAATATATGTAGGAAAATATGTTTATGTCAAAGAAATCCTGAGCTGTCCCTAAACACAGAATTCTCCCTAATACAGTCAATGAGTGAGTGAAACATTTCAAACACAGGTGTTTAGGAAATTGACCAACGCTGACCTCGTTCTTTTCTTCTTTTGAGTGATTCACCTCCGACCTCATTTTCTTCTTCTTTGCTCTCATCAATATTTTCATATGCCACCTAAGCAAAGAAGAAGAAAGCCACAATAAAGTAGCTGCGTGTCAAATAAAGTTGGGGGCAGAAACCCTGTTTTTTTACCTGGTCACTGTGAAGTGGCAGCATCTCATTGGTGGAGGGGAGGAGCCTGCTGATGAGCTGACCAATGGTCTTGAAAGTTGGTCTGTGGGTGGGCTCCAGACTCCAGCAGAGTCTCATCAGGTGATAACTGAGGAGACAAGTGAGGCTCTAAATCCATTTTAGTAACAATATATATACAGCAGTCCCTCGCTCCTTCGCAGTTCGTTTATCGCGGGTTCACTCTATCACAGTTTTTCAAACTAAAATTGCACATATATATGTATATATATATATATATATATATATATATATATATATATATGTATACATATATATATATATATGTATACATATATATATGTATGTATACATATATATATGTATGTATACATATATAGAGTGGGGAGAAGAAGTATTTGATAGACTGTTGATTTTTCAGGTTTTCCCACTTGCAAAGCTTGTAGATGACTGTAATTTTTATCATAGGTACTCTTCAACTGTGAGTGATGGAATCTAAAACAAAAATCCAGAAAAATACAATGTATGATTTTTAAAAAATTAATTTCCATTTTATTGTGTGAAATAAGTATTTGATCATCTATCAACCAGTAAGAATTTTGGCTCTCACAGACATGCTAGTTCTTCTTTAAGAAGCCCTCCTGTTCTCCACCCATTACCTGTATTAACTGCACCTGTTTGGACTCGTGACCTGTATAAAAGACACCTGTCCACACACTCAATCAATCAGACTCCAGCATCTCCACAATGCCCAAGACCAGAGAGCTGTGTAAGGACATCAGGGATAAAATTGTAGACCTGCACAAGGCTGGGATGGGCTACAGGACAATAGGCAAGCAGCTTGGTGAGAAGGGAGCAACAGTTGGTGCAATTATTAGAAAATGGAAGAAATACAATAACGGAAAATCTCCCTCGGTCTGGGGCGCCATGCAAGATCTCACCTCGTGGAGCATCATTGATCTTGAGGAAGGTGAGGAATGAGCCCAGAACCACACGGCAGGACCTGGTCAATGACCTGAATAGAGCTGGGACCACAGTCTCAAAGAAAACAATCAGTAACACTCTACGCCGTCAAGGATTAAAATCCTGCAGTGCACGCAAGGTGCCCTTCCTCAAGCCAACGCATGTCAAAGCCCGTCTGAAGTTTGCAAATGACCATCTGAATGATCCAGAGGAGGAATGGGAGAAGGTCATGTGGTCTGATGAGACAAAAATAGAACTTTTTGGTTTAAACTCCACTCGTCATGTTTGGAGGAAGAAGAATGATGAGTACAACCCCAAGAACACCATCCCAACCATGAAGCATGGTGGTGGAAACATCATTCTTTGGGGATGCTTTTCTGCAAAGGGGACAGGACGACTGCACCATATTGTGGGAAGGATGGATGGGGCCATGTATCGTGAGATTTTTGGCCAACAACCTCCTTCCCTCAGTAAGAGAACTGAAGATGGGTCGTGGCTGGGTCTTCCAGCATGATAACGACCCA